AATCCAGTTTCTGAGCATTTCCTTCCAGCCTCCCTCGAGCTACACAGAAAGAAGGAGGAGAGGGAAGGAGAGAAGCAGATTATCAGGATTTTACCTCATGTTTTTCTTCAACTGCAGCCTGCAAGCAATGCTGAAGGTCCCCCTCCACCCCTGCCTCATGTTTTCCCATCTCTCAACCAGCTGCACAGAGCACCTCACTTTCACTGGTGAGGCAGCAGAAGCACCCTGCATTGGTGTGGGTTAGAGGCCAAGACCATTGAACACAATAAAGAATAAGGACAGAAAATGGGCAAGCTGCATCATGCTAAAGTCCAAAAATGCACATCCGTAACATAGCACTTGAGGACTCACCTGAGAAAGGGCGTCTATAGCAGTTTGGAAAGAGCGTAGGGTCTGGAGGAATGGGCCCAGAAATCTTGGATGGCCCTTCACACATTCTGCTCTCTCTGTCTCTGCAACAGAAACCAACTGTCACTGAGAATGGATCTGAACAGGGCTCATGGAGCCACTGCAAAGCTGCGTTTAATCTATATGTGAATTTCTGACCTTCCTTAGACAGCTCAAACCCAGCTGCACAGATGACCTGCAAGTAGAAAACAACCCCAAACGGACTCCATGCAGGTGAGGCAAGGGATAGAGCAGCACTGTCACTATCGTGGGACCTACCAGCATTGATCCTGAAATGTCTGTGGTTGTTGTAATACCGGTATCTTCAGCATGGAAAATCTCTCCTGACTCTGCTCTTCTATACAGGACCATCTGATATACATACACAAGCGTGAGCCAAGCTCTTCTAACTGCCCTGTGTTCCTTCAGTGCACACAAAACACAAGGTAGATTGGCAGCAGCAGCAACACCTATTTCCTTGCCCACTGAGATCTTTCAGATAGCCCCTTTTCCCTGTAGCAGATAAACTTGAGGGACTTGCTCCTTGCTCAGAATATGAAGATTCAAATTGAGATGCTGTACGGACAGGCACGGGCTGATGGTGTTTTGGATGATGCCACCTAGAGCTCAATAAGTCATTGGAGTCACTGCCACAATTTTGACAGGAGCCATGTCAGCTTGACTGGAGTCATTGCTGTAAGAGCTGGGGTTACAGCCTGCACAGCCTGACTCCTGAGACAGTAATTTAAAGATTTCAGAGACAACTCCGCTGAAAGAGCCCCTTTTTAGTATCCTCAGCATGCCAGCACTGATGGGACACAGCATCTTCAGTTTAATTTATAAACCAATAAATGATCAGTACAAGGCTGAGTGAGCCTGAGTCATAGCAACTAATGCACTGCCGTCTTCCCTGTTAAATCACCCTTGTTGACATGAGACCCATTAGCAAAAAGCTATTACTTATCTGCCAGACACAACTGCAGAGGCAATGTAAGCAATGCTGAGTACTGCACACCAGTAAGCATGTCCAGTGGCTTGTTTGTGCCCAGCTACGCTGGAAAAGCTATTTCTGAAGAGCTTCAGACACAGACTCTCAGACTGCAATAAAAAATTGTTTTCTGATTGTTTAATATCCTTTAAAATGAATCCAACTAAGCCAGAACAGGCTCTCTCATTCTGGAGGATCTGTTTACCAAGAGATTACTCCAGAATAACTACTGGCCTTGATACTCACATCTGATCTCGATCTGAACTCACCTTCAAACACAGTGATTTACACACAGAATGACAGACTGGAATCAGGACCTGTAACAGAGCAGACAATTAGTGCGGGGGATTGAAGGAGGAAAGGCAAGCTGATGGGAGGTGGGGGATGGAAGGCTCATTTATACCTTAAAACAAGTCACATTTCACATCCCAACAGCACCCTGCCCTGCTGCAGGGAATTTGCAAATGACACCCACTCCCTGATTTGCAAGTCACATCGCCTCTGGATTTGGATCTTGCAAGATCAGACAGCCTTATTACAATAGCAAGTGTTTTGCCCATCCAGGCACCTCCAGCGCACCCACCCATGCAGGACACAAGCCACCAGCATCCATGTCACCTGGCCCCAGGACGAAGCAGCCAAGCCTCCAGCTCCCAAGCACAGACTTTCTAGGTGGCTGCTCTGCTCCTGCTGACCACGGGCGCATTTGAACAGAGCTGAGAACCAAGCAGCTCCCTCTTCCAGCAGGGATGTGCAGACCTCCTCCACTGCTGCTCCCACCCTTTTGCTTCATCTCTTGTAGCTGAGACGGTCCTGATCTGAGCCAACTTAACTCACTACACCTGCAAGAACAACTCACTTCTTTTGCTGTTTTAGTTTTCAGCCTGTTTAATGTTCTTCCCAAATGTAACCTGGCTGTTGGCTCCACAAGAGGATCAGAGAAGCACTGGGGCAAGCACAAGGCAAGCAGCAGGAACATCTACGTATGAACACAGAGGATGAAACAGGACCAGTCCTTTTCAGCTGTGACCTGACAGCTGGCTCAGCCAAACTGATTTGCACGCAGAAAAGCATCCCTATCAGTGTGTTAGAAACTGAAACAGCAAAAATATCTGACCTGTTGCCACTAGAAAGACACTATTTAGAGCCTCTACACAGGCTAGGGCCTCTCGGGAATGTAGGCAGACTCCACAAACTCAGTCCAATTAAGCCCAGGTAAACAAATTCGTGAGTGCAACTTCTTAACCCGGTGCCAGACTGCAGAGCAAGCCAGGGAAGCAGCAACGCCGCTCCTAGCCACAGGGCTCACCTGAAGTCAGCATGGCTACAGAGGAGGTGTCACCAGTCTCCAAAGTAACCAAGCGAATACAGCATTCCTTACTCATCCTGTCTGAGCCCTGCTGGCTTCCCTTGCTTCCCCTCCAGGACTACAACTTAATCCTGACCTGGGAGTCAGGAAAATGCAGTCTCCAGCCCTAAATCTTCTCAGAGTGTTCAAGAGCTCAGAGGATACTCACCTGGCCAGGCAGCTCCTGCCACACGCAGAGCTGAAACAAGCTTGGTGCTTCTACAAGTCACCTCTGCAAAAAGGACAGAAAGAAAAATCCCTCAATGAACTGTGATAAGCAGAGCAATTTGTCAGAAATAAATCAAAGGGCTAATCTCAATTCAGCTGCTCTTGGCTGTTTATTTTCTCCCTCCACTTCTGGCTGAAATGGACAGAAACACTGGAATGACCTCCGGGCCCCGAGGCTGTGCTAAAACCAGTGGCACACAGCCCTGAGCAGATACCTAGGCACAGGAACTCCAAGGTAAAACCAGGGGTCTGGAAAAGTGGTCACAGGAGCAAACACTTCAGAACAAGAGGGACTGAATTTGCCCCTCCTTCAGCCAAGGGTCTGAAGCCTTTCCTTGCTTCCAGGATGAGCAGGTCCAGCACCTGGCATGAACGTATTTGACATGAAGGGGAAAAAGGGAAACGAAGACAGAAGAGAAGGGCAGCGTTGAAGCTGGCAGCTTCCCCCACCCCTGGAGTGCAGACTGATGCTTAACTGTACATTTATGCACCGTAAGCCTACCCAGGTCTGTGCCAACACCTTCCCCTTGCTACTCGCTGCCAATTGCAAGGGGAGAGATTAATTCTCCCCGTTTAATGCTATTCCCAACACAGGTACTGCCACTCGCCATGCCATGGGGGCCTCATGCCACGACACCAATCTCCGCCGCACAACACCTGGGCGGCCCAGAAATCCACTTTTTGTCCCTTTTTGTCCCCACACAGGAGGGCAGAGCGCAGCGGGAACCGCGCAGCCCCAGCACCCACCCCCGGAGCGTGGCAAACCCGCAGCGCCCCGGGGCCGCCAGGAGCCCCCCGGGGGCTTCCCCGGAGCCGCTCCCGGTGCCTCAGCCGAGCTGCTCCCCGGCTGCACACCCACCCCGAGGCCTCGGGGCCTCTCCCCGCCGCCCCCGGGCCCCTCCCGGCCGCACGCACCCGGCCCGGGCCGCACGGAGCCGCCGCCATCCCGGCAACGGCCGCTTCCGCCGGCAGGGGCGGGCCGGGAGGGGCCCGGGGGCGGCTTTGGTGCCTCAGGAGGGCAGGCGGTGTGGCGGGGATGTGCTCGCCCATAGTCACAGCTTCCCCGTGCTTTTTGGTGGCTGGAGAGCTTCCCTTCCATGGTTTTGCTGCTGATGTGTTCAGGCTCGGTGGAGCCCAGCTTGGGGGTGTTGCAGACCCCCACCTCCCAGCCCTGCAGTGTCCCTGGGGCCCCGAACCTCCCAGCACACAAATCCCGACGCCATCTCTTGTTCTGCCACCTGGGACTGCCACAGCCAGCCTGGTCAGCCCAGCTCTGCCTCATCCCCATCCGTTTTTTCCACCTCTTGGTTTATGCGGGCAGATGTTGTGTCCCCGCAGGGTGTAACGGCCCCCCCGGTGCCTTCCAGAATCTCTTTCCCAACTGGCACCTTCAAAACCAAATCCAGAGCCAAGCCAAGCCCAGGGCTCGGGTGAGACTTCACAAGAAGGATGGGCCTCAATTACCACTACTCATGGGTTACCATGGCTTAAAACACCGATGGCTGGCTTCTGCCACCTTCTGAGGTCACAGCCATCAGGCACACTGCTCCTCCTTGTGCTGCCTTCTGGGCGTGGGGCCGCTCATGTGGGATTTTGTGGCTGGAAATGGCAGAGGGAGCGGGCAGGAGCAGGGGTGAGGGGCACTGTTGAGGTGCACTGCTCACCAGGGCGGGTGATCGGTGCCTGCTGCCTCTCAGGGTCACGGACAGTCCGTGAACATGACAAAACAGAGTTTGTCTGGCTGCTTAAAAGGCAAACCAGGAGTTAATTCAGGAAGGAGGCTAGAGAAGAAAGTGATGGTCCTTAATGTGTCAGGACATCCAGCTCATCCCTACAAGAGGCCTGTGTGGCGGGCACCACAGAGCACCACAGATTGGGGTGAGTTTTTACAGACGTTGGTCTCCACACAGATGCTGGTCGGTGTCCGTGATGGAGCCTCCAGCCGTGGTGGGCAGTCCTGCAGGGCAGCAGAGCAGAGGCCGTGAGCCTGGACGCATCCCGGCCGAGCTGTCAGCAGCCCTGGAGAGCCCAGGCATCAAAGCCTTGGAGGTGAGGGCAATGCCGTGTTTGACACAGGAGCAACCTTTGTCCCCTGGTGCAGAGCACAGCCTTTGCCCTTGTGCTGCAGCACGCCGATTTCCAGAGGGTGAATCCCACTGCCATGGAGCTGGGCACCCCCGGGGGTAATGCTGGCCCCTCTGCCAAGCAGAAGAAAAGCAAGAAAAGGAGAAGCAGGAGCAGCCTGCAGCCGTGCAGAAAGGTCGCATCCCGGGACGTGCTGGGTGAGCACAGTGGGTATCTGTGTCTGTGTGGTCTGGGCTGGCAGCTCACGTGCTTTAGGTGATTTTAACTGAGTTGTCTCAAGATAAACGCCCTGTTAAGGCTTAGTCCTTAGTAGGTCAGCATGGCCCCCAGCCTGTCTGCTGCTCCCAGAGCTGGAAACGTCCCTGTGGGCCAGGTGATGACAGGGGCCACTGGTGAATTTTCAGCTGGGCACTGTGATGCTCAGGCAGACTTGCCCTCACTCTTCCCTCCAGCTGCTATTTTGTCCCTGGGATGTGGCCACAGATCCCTGGCTTTTACCCCACCAGGCAGCCCTGGCTAGAAGGCATATGCCTTCCCCTGCAGTCCCTGGCTCCTGTTCTGGCAGGGGCAATCATCTTCCCTCTCCTCCCAGGACTAGTGCTGCCCCTGAGCTACAGCAAAGCCCTGGCAGGGAGCAGTTTGTCAGCGCTGGCCTCTTCTTGTACCTCTCCAGGACGACTGCCTCGCCTGCGGCCCTTGTACCAGTACATCAACTTCGACATGCCGGAGCTGATGTGCCCATCAGAAGAAAAAGATGAAACCCTAGGGCCGGCAGGGACAGCAACTGGTCCAGAGCTGGAAGGAGAGCTCCCACAAGGTTCAGTGTGCTTGTTGGGTTATTTGGAGTCCCACTGGGTTAGCAGCTTGTATGCCTGCTCCTTGTGGCAGAGTGCCTTGTGTGAGCTCAAATAGCTGCAAAGGAGAGGCTGCTGCTCTGCTGTTGATCCCCAGCTTTGGGCAACACAGCACAGCCTGCTGCAGGTCACAGTCTGCACACTGCTGAGATGTTACAGGGCATTGCCTCCCCCTTGGTGCACAGCTCCTGCCTGGGGACTTTTGTTAGCACAAGTTGGACCCATCAGGTTGCTCCCTCTCCAAAGCCCATGCTGCTCTGCAGCACTACTAAGCAGCTGTAGGCCTTCCACGGATGCAGGAGAAAGCACCAGAATGGGGTAATTACCAAAATGAGCTTTCTGTTCATTGTTCTGCAGCATTTGGCTCCCAACATCATCTGCCACTAACAAACTGGCTGAGCCAAGGATTGAGAACTCATCTTACTGACAGCCCTTTTGCGGCCTCTCTCATGCGTAACCCACAAGGTACAGCGCCAGGCAACGCGGACCCCAAGCCAAGCAGGCCACCAAGGAAGGGAATGACCTGCTGGCAGGTCAGACAGAGAGGCAGGGAGAGGGTGAAAGGCTGAGAAGGCCTGGGAGAGGGGAGCTGGCCTTATCCTGCCAGTGACCGGAGACCTGCAGGTCCCCACAGCTCACCTCCCCTGAAATGGGGGCTTTGTCCTTGCATGTGCCACTCTGGGGCTTCCCAGAGGCCCAAAGCAGCAGGGTCGGACACAACTCTCCTATAAATCCCCGAATGCTCAGTCCCTCCTAACCTCAGTTACGCTGCTGCTCGCAGACCCAGCAGCAGCCAGGCTCTGCAGTCCTGCTGCTCTGGGCTGTCAGTGACCAGCTATAAATAAGGAAAAGAGAGGGAGAAGAGCTGGTGTGATTCAGGCCACCTGCTTTATTTGAAAGAAGTGGCCAGGCTGTTGATCCACTCCCTCCTCTTGCAGAGACCTGGGCCAGCAGCGCTCTGGAGGTCCCAACCCCAGCACTGGATGACAAACCCAGGCAGGTTGATACTGAGACGACGCTCGGCTGCACGGCCTACCTGGTGTCACCACTCTTCATTAGATATCCTCACAAGCTGTCTGCCTCCTGTGTTACCACTACAGCCTGGCATTGGATGGTGGTGATCAGCACCTCACCCATGTTTGGTTGGCTTTTTTTTTTCCTGGTTGCAGAGAAGATGATTTACCTGAGGAGTGGGGGAACAGCACCACAATTTTTATTATAAAATATACCTGCTTGCTGTTAGGATGCATGTGTCATAATTTCTTCCTTACTTATGAAAAGCAGGAGCTGGGGGCCAGCCGTGTCCCATACCGTTGGGGATCACCCTGCGCCACCACTTCTCATCCTAGCAGACAGCAGAACACGGCCCCATCCCACCACACCCCTTGCACTGATTTTCAAGACTGAAAGTTAGGGCGTGAGCTGTCCAGAAACTCAGAGCATCATGGCAACAGGTTTAATGTAAGCCCACAGCAACTTCTAGCACAGCCTCACCCTTCAGATCCAGCTGAGAAACGCGATGTGCTTGTGCTGCAGCAGACCCATGTAGATGCTAAGGGGCAACAGCAGGAAGCATCGCTCATGCTGGCCAGCTAAAGCCTCTTGAATAGGCATTAGCTCTGTGCACAGTGTTAATTAGCAGGTGTTTCCACCACCTCTGCCTTGGACAAAGAAGGATTGCATAGGAGAATCTAGACAGCAGGAACCCACCCTAGCCAAAGCAGTGCTCCGTTGGCACCATTCCCCCCTGTGCAGGACGGCTTCTTGCAGGCTCTAGCCAGGCTGTAAGATGTGCTCCTGCTCACCCAGGAGCCTTGGCATCCCCCTTCCTCCACTGGGATCAAGGCCTAACAGGACATACTCAGTGCTTTCTTCTCCTACAGGAGTCATACTTTAGGATTTTCTGCCCTGGGCAGATGCTTGACAGTAGCACAAAGGAAGCTGCTCAATTCAGGGACGACAGCTTTAGAACAGATCCAGAACTGGCATGAAAGAAGCCAGAGCTTCCTATCTGAATGCATGCAGTGACTGTCCCAGGTGAGCTCAGGAGACATTACTCACCTGCTTTACATAGTGCACAGACAGTAGATGCTCAGAGCTATGGCAGAACAGCCTTCTAGCAGGAAAGGAAGGTTTGTGGGGAGACACAGCGTTCACTGGCCCATCTGCTAGAGCTGAAAACAGTGCCACTTTCTTCATCCATCTTAGAGCAGAGATGAGATTGTTCAGAGCACAGAACCAGCCAAGTTCCTAACCTTTAGAAGTGACTGATACATCATTTTAAAGTGTGTTCAAAGTAAATAGTTGAAGGTAAGTACCTCATTTATACACTGGCTAGAGAACGGTTCTATCCTTACCATGGGGATTTTGCTTCTTAGTTTGCATCTTCCAGAACTTCCTGCAACCAGTTAGGCAGAAAATAAAGATCCCATTAATCACAAAAGTTGACGTGGGAAGCCCAAGATAAGCAGGAGTATCTCCAAAATCAGCTACTCAGCTGTAGTCTGAAGAAAATAGCAATGAGGTGGAAAACAGACTTTCTGGTAGGACTTACTTTCCCTTGGTGATAAATGGATGACAACTACCTTGGCAAGGACAGCACAGAGTTATCTCCTACTCTATCAAACCCAGGTTGCCCAGCTGGCAGCACAGGGGCAGGGAATGACTCAACAGGTAATTAGCCCCAGCTGTGACATTTACTGTGATGGTTTCAGCTTGTCCAAATCGAACACAAGCACACAGCTGCCTGAAGAATGCCCTCAAACAACTTTTTATTTTTGTAGAAAACAAGTAAGATTCTTTTCAGGAAGGACCAGCTTATGAAACAGTGGTTTGCATGTTAACATACATAAATACACAGTTACAACTTAGTGGGAAATAATACATTAAAAAAGCTTTCAAGTACACAAAATAAATGTAGTAAAAATGGACTATTCCTTCCACATACCTGCTTTGGAGAAAAAATACTTCTCAAATGGAATAAACTTCCACCCATGATCTGCCAACAGATATCTCCACTGGGCACAAGCTGCAGGAGGGTGTGAGGGTGGGCAGGACCAGAGAGTTAATATCCAGTGTTTGAGATTCAAAGCAGACTTGCTCATGACAGTTCAGTCCCCATTCTCTTCAGGTATCAGTGTGTGTGTAGTGTGACAGTTTCCCAGTCAGCACACAGAGGAGCTGCAAGAGGTAGGCGATACCTCCTTACTTCCATCTGCAGATCCCTGGAAGGTTGTGGAAAGGTGCCTTGCCTGTGAAGCATTTAATAACAGTCGCAGAAATCAGAATGTGGCCCCACAGTCATGGTCCTGGTGCTGCTGGGCAGTAAACACAACTGATGGAAACAGAGCTTATGCCAAAAAAAAAAAAAAAAACACCAAAAAAAACCTGCTGGATGCAGTCAGTCTCTTGAGTAGAAAGAAAATGTTTGCAGATATGGAAGAATAACACGTATCATCGCGGACTTCCCAAAGATTTTCCTCATAACTGCCAAGACACCGTCAACAGGGAATTCATAGCATCATTTAAATAAAATACCAGCTTAAATTACTTTGAAAAACATTTGACATGTGCAGAAAGCCAAAGGCTGATCCTTATTTTACAAGCTTTATTCTGTTCTTCTACTCTGTCCTATGTGAGTTTAGAGACGTGTTACATCACTAAACTCTTTAATAAAATTTTACCAACTGAGGAGTGAAACTAAATCCATCTCCAAGAGAAGGCAAAGGCATCTAAACAACAGATGCTCCCTGATCTTGCTCTACTTAATCTCCTGTTAAAACTGTTAAAATAAGCGACCTGTGCAAGAGGGGTTGTGTCCCACTTCCAAGCCATGCAATGGCAGAGATCCATGCTTCACTTCAGCTACTGCAAGTGCAAAGGGCAATTCAAGTTTTTCTAAGTCTCCAAGACAAAAATTAAACATTTACAAAAAATGGAAATATTTAAAACTCTTTAAACAATTTAAATCAGAACCGTTTCTATCGGAACATGGCATATTTTACATGTTTAAAGAAAAAAAACAAGAAACATTATTAAATAAGAATCTACATATCTTAAAAACAGGGAGGATTTGTACAGTTACAGCCCGAAGTATCAATTGTCCTATTTTCCAAAGCAGGAATATTCATAAGTTATTCCTCTGAAGCGCCTCACAAAGGTTCTGATTGGCATCTGGCTCCTCGGTCATGACCTCCACAGCCTCCCACTCCCCTGACCTGCTGGATTTCTTGATAGCCTCTACAACACTTTGCATGTAGAGACCGTCTTCGAAAGAGGCTGCCATTGAGACAGGTTTATGATCCCACGTCCGACGATCCTCCTGGTCTTGGAAAGACTTGCGCAAGGCTTGCACCATGTATACCATTCCTTTTAGGTAGAGCAGCGGGATGTCTTTAAACCCCTTGTCCAAAAGGCCTTTGTTGACAGTCAGAGAGTCCGTAAACAGTAATTCCTCTTGGAGTGCAGTGTTCTTCTGCCCATACAAGTCCGTGCCACGAGCTATGAGGCGACCGGCGGACCCAACAACCATGACTTCATGAATGAAGGAGCCGGGCATGTTGAAGTTGAGAGTCACAGTACAACAGACACCCTCACTCATCAGCATCTGGAAGAAGCAGAAGTCATCACTAGTAACATGGCGGATCCCACTGATAGCCGTGTTCTGCTTGACAAAAGTCTTGAGCAGACCGTGGACTTTCTCTGCTCGCCTGTTGATGAGGTGGGTCAGAAGGTCAATGATGTACGTCCCCATTGTATGCAGACCGCCTCCTCCCATTAGCTCGTCACAGATCCAGTTGTACTTGTGGCTGAGCAGGCTCCCCCCGTAGACTCGTACATCACAGATCATCACGCTGCCCACGTAGTGTTCTTCTATCAACTGCTTCATCTTCACAAAGACAGGCAAGAAACGGAGGACGTTGCCCACGATGCTCATCAGCTTGGGGTAGTATCTGGCAGCTGTGACCATCCTGAAGGCATCCACAGAGGTAGCAGCTTTCTCACAGATCACGTTCTTCCCTATTCCTGCAGCACAAACACACCAAAAAATAACATAGCACTCATGAGCAAAACATGATGCAAGGCCCGAGCATTTATCAGTAGAGCTTTTAAGAGTCAGGCTTTCAAAGGCAAAGGTTCAGGAACTAAAATAAGAATCCTTCCAAGATGCTTCCGTTGCAGAGCTGACAAACTCCCACAGAGAGCAGCTCTAAATAAATACAGAGCATTTCCACATCATGAGAGATGAACCGTGTCATGTTTTCATGCCAATTGAGTGTTGTAGCTATACAACTATTTGAATGCCTGTACAGCCAGAAGGGAAAAAAATCACGGAGGAGATCTATGCACTCTGCAGGGAAAAAGTGAGTGAAGGAGATTTGATTTTGAATTTCATCATCACTATGAATTTATTATTTGTAATAGATTGATAGAAATACAAGGTACCTGGTGGCCTGTGTACAGCATAAAAAAAATTTGAAATAATGTTTTGTAAAGTGAAACATTTTTGTCTGCACATACAAGCTATGTGTACAATTAGACTGCAAAGGCGACTGCACGAGTTACCCAAGTGGAGCAGCACTCGCAAGATGACCTGCTGTGGTTTTGGTTATTAGTAACGTGCTTTATTTTGTGCCCAGCCTGAATCAGTGTGGATAGTCTTTATTTTAGATACAAGGTATAAATAAGCTGATGATCCAAAAGAGCATCTCAATGGAAGATTCAACCAAACGCCTACACCCAGTGTTCTGTTGGTACTCCCTCTTCCCCCATTCTCACTCTCCGCTCACAGCATGGCTTTACTTTTCCCTATACGCCTGATAAAATGCTTCACAGCATTTTTCAATGTAGTATCTAGGGACACACCTAGAAGTTTCCAGACATTAACTCAGGATGTCAGGTCTGAAGCTCAGCCTAGTCATACCGCAGTTTCTCACAGGGAACACGGCAGCAGGTGCCTCACTCAAAGCTCCTCCTGGACCACGCTCCTCGCTTCTGTCATCTGCAGGGTGAGGTGACAGCAGCACAAGTGTTTAAATCAGACTCCTGCCTACCGGGGGAAGCCAGATCCTGCACGGCAGCAGCTGCTGCACTGAGCACTCCACCTCCTGGCTGCACCAAGCAAGACTTGATGCAGGAACAGCCAAGTGGTCCAGGGGCCAGCAAGCTCCTACAATGCATCGCTCTGCCCCGCTCAGCCTGGGACAACTAGTGGGAAAGGAAGCTCTGAACATGCCTTTGTAGTAAATAAGACCAAAATCCACTCAGAAAACAAAACTATAATTTTTAAGTGGCCTCTTCCAAAGAAAGCACCTGAACACATACGAGTCAGCAGAAGCTTTAATGGGCAGAGAAGGGCAGGGTCACACTCCCCTGATGCTGCCTCTCAGCCTGCCAAATGCTCCTGGCTGCCCACCAGCAAACCCATTTCAGGAACCACTTCTGACTCTCCCGTACCAGTCCCTGCACTGCTCTCTGTTCAATGTTCCCCAGGGCTGGCTGAGCTCCTCTTGAGATATTTCAGTGCTGGGGTTAGCTGCCTTCTCATTATGCTGTACCTTTAAATGGCATTCAT